GGGACTGAATGTATAAACCCGTCGGTGATGATGGACACGGACTGTTGTCCGTCCCGCTTGAGCTGTTAGGGTCAGAGGCTTTCTCTGCACAGGTACCATTTCCCCCTTCCGTATTCGGAGATTGCTCTTGCCGAGTTCGCATTACCTGTAGAATTATACTTTGAGCAAGCTCCATTTCTCCCGCTCCGCGGGTGCAAAATCTCACTGAAAAAAAAACGTTGGGTGAGAGTTTGGAAATATTTTCTTCCTGTTCACCAATAGCTGGACTTCTTCCGCAATCTGAAAGGCAACCTTCAGCGGTCTTGGTTGGCCTCGTTCATCTTTTGGTTCTCTTATCCGGCCCATACGGAAGGCCTTTAGATCTTTGATTTTCTCGTTCCCCTTAAGGGGGTATTTCAGATGTTATTGAAATGATGCAATGTCTTCTTGTATTCTTACCTTTGAGAAGTCGGAATTAGATTCGGGCATGGCTTTGATGACTACGCATTTGCTTCGATCCACTCGAGGGCCTTGTGTTTTTGTCTTATGTGGACAGGTTATAGTACGATCCTTTCGGTTGTCGTCCACTTCTCCTCTCGTGGGGTTTGTTAGGACAGAGTTAATGCCAGGTTCCGTAGTGGATGAGGCCCTGCAGTCCGTTTTGAGCTTCAATGGCGCCATTTTTGCTTGGAACATCCTGACTTAATTTATCTTTTTCGCGAAACCAGAGGACGTTTCTTCGTTTTCTGAGGCATCCGGCGGTCGACATTTTTGCATTTCAGAGACTGGTTAAGCGTTCGGCCGAGCTCCAAGTCAAGTCAAGTTTATTAGGCAAACGCCTTTGAACTCCCTATCGGTACACAGTAGTTAAGAAATGCATCTGCAAAGCCGAGCATTTCAAAGGTCGTTTGCGTAATTGTAGGTGACTACTCACTTGTTCCGAGTAAGATAATCAGATGGGATGATGTCGGTTAACACAAGCCAGCAGGTGTAACTGAGCAAAAAGAGCAGTGAAAAAACTCTTAAGGCATGGCTCAGAATTCAAAAAATGGAATGTAGTTTGTGGTTTTTTTTAGCAGAAAAACTGTCGCTCGTGGAGAAAGTATGTGAAAAATATGCCGGGATGCACCCGTTAACGTTGGCGGCAGGCTAGGGGATCCACCGCGACTTATATCTTGATAGGAAGTGCCATACGCGGACGAGACTGCAGAGTCACGTGAACATCCCGAAAAATGGGAGCTGCGACCACGATACGCCTTTGTAAATCTTCCTCCATTTGATATCACAGCTAAGGAAGCTGGGTTTCTCAAGTTCAGTTACCACACACTTCTCTTTAGGGAGAAAATAAAATTAGCAGATCATTTTAGACGAATGAGGCTCAGATTGTTTCCTTTTTTCCACAAGCAACTGAGATACAACCTGC